AAAGGGAAAACTGTCAAATAGGTCCTCGAATGGGTAGGGGTATACTTGTCCAACACTAAAGTTACTCCTATTCAAACATGATACTCATATTTTTTCATTTTGCCTATGTTTTACCCCTTTTTGGAAAATTCTCTCTTAGTTTTATTTCCGGATTTTTCCCAAATGGAAATCATAGAACGTTTGTATCATATTTGTTAATTTTCAAATAAAAGTATGCAATATACTCCCTCTGTCGCATTTAAAGGTTCTCGTACACTATTCTGCGGTCAACGTGCATTGTTCTTAATCTTTTACTTTATATATCGAAAGTTTATGAAATTTAAATTATTCTTTGTAGGTTTTGTAGTGGTTTTAATGTAGTTTTTGAATATGTAAATTTTATTTACTAAAAATAATTCTATTAATGATAAGGATCAGTTAACTTTATGATCAGTCAAACATCATAAATCGTGTGAGAACTTTAAGGTGGGACGAAGGGAGTAGTTTTTACTCCGTACAAGAATGCATTTAGAAACATTTGGTGTAATCATTACACATTTACATCTAGGGGTATTAGTCCTAGGATTAAAATTAGTCCAAAATGCAACAATAAGACTACAATTCATCTATTCACAAAATAAGAGTAATATATGCCATTTCTTCCCTATCTACCACTTCATATAATTTCTAATAGATTTATTTTATTAATAAGATAATCATAGTTTGATTTATAATTAAAATATGGAACGTAATAAGAACAAATGCAAATTAAGAACATAAAATAAATTAAAATATCTAAAAAAAAATATTAAAAAATATGTAGACCATTGTACCACATCCTCCACCTTTCAGCACCACCAGTTTCGATCATCGGAAAAAATTCTCCTTGTGTAAAAATGGTCACATTCCTCTGAAAATGCCATAAAGATGACATTTTTATTCTTTGAGTAAGTTTGTTTTCAAATTTTCCTTCACGATGACTGACATGCACTTTGTCGTGGTGTGCACTCAAAATAATAATACAATACGACACTAATACGTAGTATAGCGTAGTAAGGTTCGTATCCGCAGGGAAAGAAATACTTCTCTTTTTATAACTAGTAATAAGGGGGTTTTTTAGTTTGATTTGGTTTAATAAATTAAACACGAAGATGAACGAGTTATGTGGTTTAATTAACGAGAAGAAGACTTGGCTTTGCTTTTATCCACTTAATGAAATGTTCGTCGATCCCGGTTATATCTTTAACTATCTTCCTCTCGAATACTCAAATCGAGGAGTATATCCAGTTCATCGAGGGTAGTTATTAATAACGAGAAGTGTTCATTAATAAAACTTACTATCGAGTCAATATAGAACAAGCGCCGTATATTAACTTGATAGTAGCAATAAACTTAAGATGAAAACGATTGAGATTGATAAACTCAACACAAGCGGTTTATTGGTTTAATCAATATAATTAATTCCCCTTAGATTATTAACCATGAGATGCATGCATTAATAATCCAAGTTTACTACCATGAAAGGACCGAATTAATAACAAGCGTATTAATCGACCAATTCTAGTATTAATTAATATACGAAACAAAACTAGTTGATCCTTTAAGTAATGTTCAAAATATTAATATGAAATATGAATAGGAATTAATTAATACTCAAGAAAGAATATTAAAGAAGATGAATCCTACTATAGTTAATATCAAGATGTTAACTAATTGTCATCTTAGTAACACTCCCCAATATTAACGTAGAGGAAGAAATAATTATTACTATAACTAATGTCAAGATGTTAACTAATTGTCATCTTAGTAACACTCCCCAACATTGATATAGAAATAGTATTTAAAGGAAGAATTAATATTCAAGGAAGAAGATTAAAGAGAATAACTCACAACTTACAAATTCATTAAGCTTCAAAGTAGCAAAACCAAGATGGAAGAGTTTAGCTCCTCATTTGGAGACTAAACATGATAGAAAATATAAAGAAAACACTAATCTAAACTGAGCTAAAGAGTATATGTGAATTGGTGATTTATTGTGAAGGAAAGGGGGTGTATTTATAGGCTTTTTGAGAGTGCAGCTCGGGTACTCGATCGAGTATAGATAGATACTCGATCGAGTATGTGCAGAATGATGATTTTGAGCTATACTCGACCGAATTCAGGTTCAAATTCATATGTATACTCGATCGGGTATGTCGGTGTACCCGATCGAGTATGACAATAAAACGTGGCCAAATCTTTCCTTGCATGTTCCTTTGTTTTCGGATCCGATCCGATTTGAAATTTTAACAACATACCCGATCGAGTATATACAGATACTCGATCGAGTATAGACCAAAAATCAGGATCTTCCCTTTTGTCTTGTGATTTTGCACCTTCCTTCCACTTTTGGGGTTCACCAACCGTCCTTTGAGTGATAGTAGACTTGTTTGAGCTCAGAATAAACCTAATCTAAACAATTTACAAGAATTTAACAAACTAAACTATTACACCAAAAGTGTGTAATTTCCGAAATACTAAACAACCAAAATTCGCTAAAAACATAAACATACACACGGAAATTACAAGTGTATAAATGACATTTTTTTTAACGCTGCATTCTTTTCCGGTAACCAAAGGTGGCAGTGCTGGAAGGTTACTGAGGTTGTGGTTGAGGCCTGCATATTTTTACTTTTTATTTTTACTTTTTTTATATTTTTATTTTAAGTTTTTTCTCTTTGAAAAAGTTCAGATTGCTTAAATTAAAGTTCATATATTTTTAACGGATTTTTTTAATATTAAAATATCAAATAAATCAAGAGTTGCATAATTTTTAAAGAGACTACATTTATCAAATATCATAGGACAAGTGTGTATAAAACCAAAATCCAAAAAACTGGACTATATTAGCTTAACATATGTGTAATATTTGATTTGATCATATTATACTACATTTCATCCGTTTGATCTCATTTTAACATCGTTGTAAGGATAAATTCAAGTTTTAAAGAATAAAGTATGTATAACTTTGAAAACAGACCAAATAGGCTTAATTTGATTTGGCAGGCTGATATATTATTAAGGAGGTTTATTGTATTAGGAATTAGTGGCAAAATTTAAAAAGTTCATGGATTTTAAAAGTGTAAGTATATTCAATATAGACTTTTAAAAGTTTACAAAAGTCAACAGGAAAAAGCGGACGGCCCCTAGGCTAGGGTTTGAAGGTTTTGCTTCGCAAGTTTTTTCCGTCAGCGGACACCTTCGTCCGTGTGGCAGTTTTAGTGGGTCTAGGAGACCATGGAACACAGGGAACAAAGGAAGAGGAGAGCCACGTCGCTACGTGTTAGTGCGCAAGTTTGGGTACGTTTGCAGAGAGGGTCTCGGTCGTTTTTCTTTTGCTGTTTTTAGTCCATCAAGTGGAGAGGAGCTAGGCAGGCTATTGGAATGATAGGGATGTGGAGGTTGCTCGTTGTCGGACTGGTTGTGTTTGTGCAATATTTTGGCCAAGATATGAAGGCGACTCAAAGCCAGATCGTGGTGATGAAGAAAGAGGATGAAGTGATGATGATTTGCCCTCCTCATGAAGCGCCACCACAGAGAAACTGAGAGACTAGGGATCAGAATGAAGGATGGATTTAAGTGTGGCCTTTCCTTTCACAACATGTGGGCATCAGAAAGGTTGGAGGCCTTATGACAATTTATTTCAGTCGCGTTTATTTGATTTTTGTTAAGTTCTCTTATTTTTGTGAACAATAGCGGTGGGCTGCTTGCTAGTTTTTTCATTATTCAAGATTGTTTTGTGGGTGGTAGCAATAAGAATTGTATGACTGGTAAAAGCTTCGCAGCTTTGACATGGTTATCAAATAGTCTTGTTCTCTTTAGGGTGGTCTATTATGTTTCTAGTCAGAGAGTGAGAGAGACGTTTGGTTATGCAGAGTCTCATAAAGAGGTTTGGCGTTGTGTGCATGTAGGAACCTTGTTACTGTTGATTGCTATAATATAACTAGTTTTGTTTAAAAAAAATGTCTACAAAAGTTTAGGCGTATTCAATGTAGAAGTATATTGAATATGAATTGTGGTGGAATTTTTCTAAGACAATCGACTTTTAAATCTGGACTGCCACTGTCGATCGTTGAAATTTTCACCTAGATCGCCACTTCCGATCTGTCTGTCGCCTCCGTCACCGAAGTTCGCTGCTGCTGTCATCGCACTAGCCCGTCACCGATAAAATGACTTTGGTTAATTAGAATTAAGGGGTGTCGGATCAGTCCGATGATGACGGCGACGAACTTCGGTGACGGAGACGGACATGCAAATAGATAGAGATAATCTAGGTGCTAATTTCGTCGACCGGTAGTGGCGGTCTGGATTTAAAAGTCTATGAACTTTTTGAAAGTTTATAAAATTATCAATGAATTTAAAAATTTATACTAGTAGAATATATTGAGAATATGAATCGTACATAATACAAAGTAGTTTGGGTGACCCCTCAATATGAATCGGTTACCATGACATTTGGGTGATAGTAGTATATTACATACAAAGTACATTCATACTTTTTATTGCTACCTCAAAAGGATTATCCCTAATAGTTTGGGTGACCCCTCAATATGAACCGGTTTGGGACTAACGAATGAAGATGAGGTGCAAAAATTGGATTATTTATGAATAACGATAAAGTAAGACTATTGTATGAAAACATGTGAAATGTTTGATTATTAATTTCCATTTTCCCTATTTATTTCTATACATTTTATTTACGTAGTATTAAAAAAAACATTGACTATTCCAAAACTTTAACCGCATTTTATTGAAGTAATCATTCTGTTACATTTAAATATATAGATTTCACTCATAAAATTTGTTCCTATTTCAGAGCATTGAAAAAGTAGTGTCCCAAAACGTTTCTTGATAATCGCAAATTTCAATTTAATCTATTCATATCAAAAATTCACGATCATTACATCAACCAAAAGGAAAATAAAACTGACACCAATTGAAACTTCAACAACTACGATTGTAACCCTATGTGAGAATAATGGCAGACATACCAATGTGGTAGCCATGGATGTCATATATATAATAAAACATGTGTCCTGAATACAATAGGAAACTGACTAAAATAGGAAGACCTATTTAGACTAATCAATACATTATTACACCCCCTCAATCTATGCAGGGGAAAGAACGCGCAGATTGTCCCTAAGAAATATAAAACGTTGAGGTGACAAACATTTTGTGAAAATATCAGCTAGCTGGAATTGCGTAGAAACATAGCGAACAACCAGGTCTCCATGAGATACTCTCTCACGAACAAAGTGATAGTCAATGCTGATGTGTTTGCTGCGAGCATGCAAAATAGGATTAGTAGACAAATATGAAGCAGAAACACGAATCGCTATGGTGAGACTTTGAGACGGTCACCCCTGAGAGAGCAACACAAATCGCTAACCATGTAGTGGGCTTGACACAACCAAACCTATTCCCATAGATCCAACCATACCCAATGACATAAAGAGAGGCAAAAAACTCAAACAAACTGTCAAAACCAACAACAAAAGTGGACACAAGAAAACAAATAACAAACAGATAAAAACTACAAGAAAAGCGTTCACGAACTCTAGCACCTTATACATCCCATGGTGGTGGTTCAGGAGGAGGTCTTACCACCAGTACCATGCTAATTGATACTCTGTGACCTTTGTTTGCCAAAGGCCATGCATCAATCCTCCGTCCCTGCATAACCAAACTCATCCCTGCTTCATGCAACCAGAGTAAACGGATAGGCGGCGCCGATCTTCTCCAACGACGACAACAATACATCATCCTCGAACCTTGACCACAACGCCGATCTCCTCGAGCCATGACAGCAAATACGTCCTTCGAGTATGAAGCACAAACAACAGCAGCCGTCCTTCGATTAAAATCGAAGACGGAAATAGCGGCCGTCCTTCGATTAAAATCGAAGACGGAAAAAGCGGCCGTCCTTCGATTAAAATCGAAGACGGAAAAAAACTCCAAGCGGCCGAAGTCCTAGAGAGAAGCGTGAGACGACCGAACTTTTTTTTAATACTTCGTATAATTAATACTTCTTTAAGTACAATATTATTTTAATTTGACATGATTATTAATAAATTAGTTTTTTTTTAAAGTTAATAAATTAGTTGAAACTTGAAAGTTAAAAAATATGTTTCAGCTTTGAATAGGATAATGTATAAAAATGACGGTGTATTTCTTGTCAAGAAAAAAATAGATATTGATTTTGGGACAATTAAAAAAAGTAAGATAATCAAAATGAAACGGAGTACGAAACATTTTAAACACTTACAAAGTAAATTAAAATTTTCAATTTTATAGTCACTCTAAATTTTTCGATACTGAGATACTCCACAGTGCCTTTTTTAAGAAAAGATGCTAAAGTTTCAAATAGGTCATCAAACAAATTTAAAAAGTGCAATTCACTCCTTATATAGGAGACTCTGTTCAGCTGTCGCCAATTGTGGTGGTTCCCGGTGAATTTTTTTGATGAAATTGTTTGAACATCTTCTTCATTAAGTCTAATTTACTCATACCAAATTTCAGATAAAAATTCAACCGGAAAGATAGTAAAATGATTTTCTGAAATGTACTGCACTGTTTAACTGCGCAGTTATTTTCAAAAATTCGTTTGGCTGTCTTTCCGATTGATTTTTTAGCTGAAATTTCGTATAAGTTAACTGAACTTTATAAAGAAGGTTAAAAAAATTTCATCAAAAAATTTCACCCAAAATCGCTCTAATTGGCAATGACGGGACATAGTCTCTTGTGTAAAGAATGAATTGCTCTTTTAGTTAATTCTAACATCTATCTCACTCTTTAGCCTTAAGAAAACAATGTACACCTGTTACTACATCATTATTAATAGGGAAAATGGAAACTAATAATCCAACCTTTTAGCGGTCTTCTTTTAATAGTCCCACCTTTTCGTTATTCATGAATAATCCAACCTTTGCACCTCATCTTCATTCACTGGTCCCTGACCGGTTGATGACCTGCTATTCCAAGTTATTTTCTTATCTTTGCAAAATATTATCTTTGTGAAAGGTGGAATTTATGGTATAATAGTTTGCAAAGATAAAAAAATAACTCGGAATAGCATGTCATCAACCGGTCGGGGAACCAATGAATGAAGATGAGGTGCAAAGGTTGAATTATTCATGAATAATGCAAAGATCGGACTATTAAAAGCAGACCGCTAAAAGGTTGGATTATTAGTTTCCATTTTCCCTTATTAATAAACATTTCAAGTCGAAAATCAAAATAACTTTAGGAGACATGAGAACTCATCAGAGTAGACGATAAATAGTTTTTTGAATGGTTTCCGTGTTGCAGACGGAGCAATCATCGCCCATCGTCTTCTTAGTCAAAACCTCACATTTTTTCGCCTTCGCACTAGTGTTTATGATTACACTGCCCACATCCGTAAACAGTACCCGAATACCCGCAAGACAAACAAGAAATCGAAAACAATCTCTTTAATTTTCGGATTCCCTCTGTTCTCAACCCAAAGATTTTTTTCGCAACCGCTTTTCTTCTCCGGGTTTGGGTACATTTTCATTTCTCCAAAATGTTTCGAACTCGAGTGTATTCGGGTCGGGATGGCGCAAACCCGTTTAAAGCAATTGCCGTTTTGGATGCCAAAGGTGATCGTCTCAGGTCGTCGTTGAAATTCGGAGTTTGGGTTCTGTTCATCGCTTCGGCTCTGTTGGCTCTTAATTCAGCACTCACCGGCGAGATCCCATTGTTCCGGCGGTGCTCCGAATCCGCCGGGTCGACCCTGAAATACGCGCCGGCGCCCGAGAGCGAGATCCACGACCCGGATTCTTCCTCGCCGACGAACATATCCCACATCGTATTCGGCATCGGCGGTTCGGTCAAGACTTGGAGTTACCGGAGATATTACTCCGAACTCTGGTGGCAGCCGAACATCACGCGGGGGTTCGTATGGCTGGACGGGGAACCCGGATCGGGTTCCCCGTTGCCCGAGACTTCCCCGCCGTACCGGATTTCATCGGACTGGAAGAAAATCAAGGACACCCGTTTCCAGTCGGCAGTGCGGTTATCCCGGATCGTGGTGGACTCGTTCCGGGCCGGGTTACCGGGCGTGAGGTGGTTCGTGATGGGGGACGATGACACGGTGTTCTTCCCCGACAACCTGGTATCCGTACTGGGGAAGTACGACCACCGGGAGATGTACTACGTCGGCGGGAACTCGGAGAGCGTGGAGCAGGACACGTTGCACGCGTACGACATGGCGTTTGGCGGCGGCGGTTTCGCGATAAGTTATCCATTGGCGGCAGAACTGGTCAAAATAATGGACGGCTGCCTCGACAGATACTCCTACATGTACGGCTCAGATCAAAGGGTGTGGGCATGTGTAAGCGAGCTTGGTGTTTCTCTGACCAGAGAACTCGGGTTCCACCAGGTATTTTCTGTTCCAACATCCAAACCTTTTTTTTCGTTTTAAAATACGTAATAATTAATTTCTATTTGAAGGCATAAGTTTTGTTTTTATGGAATTAATAATTACTCCGTAATTAAATAATTATGTAATTTTGTTCATACATAAGGGTGATGTAGTATTTAGCAACTCAACATATATATACAATTAAATAAGTGGAACATATCGATAATTACACTATTTGAATTGACTATGCCTTATTTTAATAATGTATTGATAACTTTTTAAACAAATATTTTAAAATTGTCTTATTTTTACAATTAAATGTTACTCGTAGTAAAAATATTCCTCTTTCTATATAAATAATGTTATTAACAAGTTTTATAAAAAGCGGACAAGTTTCGTAAATTCACAACCACTATTAAATTAAGTTTAGTGTTATTGTCTTAATATTTACTGTTTTAATTCTATTAAAGTGCCACCACCGGGAAATTAATTTAGCCATGTTGGAGCAAGTAATAAATATTTTACGTTTATAGTATAGCTATCGCTAGATTGCTTACATACGTAATTGAGGCCTATCTATTATCATAATTTTGATGTTTATATTAATATTGGACCTTGCTCAATATGGTTAAATATTTAATACTATCTATAATACTGCACTTCGTTAAATATAATCTTTTATGGTGATTGCTTGCATACGTAATTGAGGCCTATTTATAATCATAATTTTGATGTTTTAATTAATATTGGACCTTGCTCAATATGGTTAAATATTTAATACTATCTATAATATTGGACTTAGTTAAATATAATCTTTTATGGTGATATGATGGTATAAATTTGGGTTGTTCTGGTCTAATAAGTCTATATATGATGTATTACATATGATGTTTTATATGTTTACTACTCAGTACAATTTAAATGCAGTCCAACTAGAGGTTGAATGCTAAAAGGTAAGGATAAAGTCGTACGGGAATACATATATTAGATTTTTTTGACAATTAGTTAGGATATTAATATAAAGTTACAACTTACAAACACAATAATTATGAATGAAACGATTTGTAATACTCCATATATGATTAAAATAAATATGTTTGGTAAAAAAGTTTCTGAGTTCTAGGGATGTGACCACATCAAACACGTGTTGGCATAACATAAATAGGTCACCATAACAAAGTACGAGTCCAATATAGATGACTTTTACTAATTTAGTATAGGGGAAGTTACATACTCCGTATATGGTATTTTGGTACCATTCGCCTCAGCTCGTTGGATTTGGCTTGCCTCTCCCATTTTCCTCAAACATCATAGTACATAAATAGTCATTGTTACGTTATGTCGGTTACTAGTCTAATATATGCGTATATGAATTAAAAGTATATATGCTTCAGATTTCAACTGTTATTCGAAATTTAAATCTGATTAGTTTTTGTGTGATCTAATTTGAATTTATATTGATTTAGTAGTCTATATAGTGTGGTATAGTCTAAAATAGTAAAATAATTTAACTTGATCCGCTTAAGTTCAATTTATTTAAGTTTGGTTCTGTTATTCTAGAGGCTAAAATATGATTTAATGCATCCTCCATTACGTCGGTAGCACATTCGTCTTTTCCTATATATAGATAGGTGACGCTTTTACGACTTTTTCACATCCCATCGCCAAATACGGAGTATTAACGATAGTAGGGCTACAGCATGCACAAAATCCAAATGTTGTGGCAGTAGCTGGAATATGTTCGTACATTGAATTTCATAAAACTTGATCAACGTGGAATAATAAAGTAAAATTTATGTGGTTGAAATTTGTACAGAGGAAAGAGAAATAGTTTTAACTACATATTTGTTGCTTTTAATGGAAATGACAAATTTTTTTGGTACGACCAAAAAAGAAAATTTAGCCAAGTTTTATGGAACTTTGCTCTCTCTTTTATTTCTTTTATTTATGGAGTTATAAAAGACCCATCTAGGGCGACCATCCTATGAACTTTCAAAACTTTCTATGGGATATGTCATATTTTTTTATAACAAAACTTCTTTCTTAATTAGATACACTGGTGTTCACCACCCCTAACTTTTCATTTCCAAAATTAATTTACAGCCTTACATGATATGATACGTACTTAATAGGAGATCTAAAGAGAGAAATAAAAAACAATTGATCTTTACTTGGACAACTAAATAATAGAACAACTTATTTATTTAAGACTTAGGATACTTATTGAATTAAAAGGGGTCATAGTCTTGTAAAGCTTAATTTGGTAGTCCTGTTTTTCGGATTATTATTCTTATTAGCCAACTTTTACACCAAACACATGACTTTTGATTCACGCGCTAAATTAACTCGTATAAGTAAAAGTAAGGTTGAAGTTACTTTTCTGGATGTATTGACTGAAGTTACTGTAAAGGATCATTTTAACTATTTTTCATATAATATTTTCTTTATTTTTTTAATAAAATACTACCTCCGTCCCAGAAAATTCTTCCCACTTACCATTTTGGAACATCCCAAAAAATTCTCCCTGTTTCCCTTTTGGAAAGGTTTGTGTGGCCACCATTCATTTACCTTTTTATTACTCAACCACAACCATACGTTTCCACTTTATTCTCGCTTTTTTAAACTCCGATCCAAGTCAAGCTGGAAAGAATTTTCCGGGATGAAAGAAGTAAATTTTAAGTATAATTTTTTTTCTCATAAATCAACAAAACCAATCAATCTAAGAGCATCCACATTGATGTTCTTCAACTTTACGGTTTTTCATGGCTTAATATTGTCATGTCACCTCCACATAAGATAATCTCAAATAATCTCCAAATCAATAAATTTCACCTCATTCATGACCTTATTTTACCTTGGATAGGAGCATGAGCATGTACGAACTACAAAACTAGTCATCACCATAATTATAAATATATGCCTAGAAGTTGGAAATAATCTCAAAATAATCCAGCTTTAGAATTTGATACCAGATTATTTTATCAAATAATCTCATAAAATAATCTCAACTCCTCATGCATGATCCCAAAAAAATCCTCCACTTCATCAAAATGATCCAAAAAATAATCCATGGATGTCGATGCCCTAACCACTTCAAATTGAATTTCATAAATTTCAATTGAACCAGTCAATACAGCTCATTTTGATATGATGAAACGGGCTCATTGTGATTAGATAAATGTCTAAAATATACTCCGTAAATTTCTATGTGACATTATATACACAATGTCATGTGTACTCAGCAGCACTATCAAGTATCAACTCATTCTATATCATAGGCATTTCATACCCAACCGTTCAAATATATAGCAAGATCCATAGTTAGTAGAGTTAGTAGTCACTTTCGGGTCTCAAACGTCAACCAAACCATGTCTTCAATAAACATGTTGCATTTTTTAATTTTCCACTCATCCGACGGGGAACCAAAGATTCCGAAATAGGGGTTTTCTTTCGCTTTTCAATTAGTCGCTTTCGGTTACAAAAAAGAGTAATTGACGCCTTTGATTTATTTTGGTTTGTTTGGTCATCCAATCTGTACGTTCGCGATGTGCGGTGGGCAATTTGACGTGACACGTTTCCTCACCTTTGTTTAATGTCTGAAATCAAATTCATAGGCCGGTGCCCAAGTACAGTTTTCGGGAAAAGTGTCCTTTTTACTGTATTTTTCCAGTGTTTCATACGAGAGTTTCCTCTTCCCAGTAAAATAGAAACATAAGTATGAGACTCAAAATTCACTCGCTATCTATTAAAATTCTATTTACATTTGCTTGTTTAAGTGTCCATTGGATGTTTGGTCTTAGGGATGGGGTGTCATCCCTTCTCTTCTACTTCCCCATCCCAATAAATTCTTCCAAATCAATCTTGGCTCGCAAATTAAGAAAATAAGAATAAAGATGAAATGTATTGTTGTAGTTGTGTAAGAAAAAGTCAATGAATATGAAGCACACAAGTTTTACAAAAGTGAAAGTTGGAAGAATTTTTTGAAACAGTCCAAAAAGAAAAGTTGAAAAAATTTAATGGGACGGAGAGTGTACTTAATTAAACTCTTTGATGACTTGATCGACTCTTATGCTATTCTCACACTTTTTAATTTTGTAATGCTCAAGTTAATTTGAAAGAAGGTCCAAACTCTGTACTCTTTTTAATATTTTTAATTAAGATAGTGAGAATTGTGTAGTGTAGAGTTGTGCAGACGAGAGAGAAATGCGTAAGAATGTATTAAAATGATTGCGAAACACAAACTCTTTGTCAAAAGAGAAAAAAGAGATAATTTTGAGACGAGTTTTTTACACAAATATTATCACTAGTGTTGGCAGTTACAAAAAAATGACAATCACTATAGAACACGTACATCATCTTGTGTGTAAGTTAGGTAAACAAGTGATATTTTTGTACGTGGTGTTTAAAGTAGTAATACTTTTGTAATTTTTTCTTATTACTATTCTGTATTTTAATATATGAAATATAGGCATTCCCCGAAAAAATATAGATATATGAAATACAAAAACCTTTCCTCCTTATTGAATGTTCTTCCAATTTTAAGTTCCATGGGGGATTCATTTTCAATGGATCAATGTTTGGAACTAATTTTAATTTGTTGTGTGGTGGTGACAATTTCTCAGATGGACATAAGAGGAGATGCATTTGGTCTACTGGCAGCTCATCCTTTAGCACCCCTTGTATCCCTCCACCACCCTGAAAGTATTCAGCCACTTTTCCCCAACAAAACCCTACTCCAGTCATTCCAGACCATCATCCAAGCATACAAGCCCGACCCGGCGAGAATAATGCAGCAATCGATCTGCTACAACAAGTGGAAATGGTCAATATCCATCTCTTGGGGCTATGCTGTCCAAATATACCCTCGGGTTTTGACCCCCAAAGAGTTAGAAATGCCACTGCAGACGTTCCAAACATGGCGTACATTGAGCAACGGGCCTTTCACGTTCAATACCCGACCTGTGAGTCCTGACCCGTGCCAGCATCCCATCGTGTTCTATTTAGATTCGGTTAATGATGTGGCCCAAGAGGGCGTGACGGTGACTACTTATAAGAAGTTATTGGACCGGCCAAAAAACAAGTGTCCCTTCATGAATTACCTCATTGCAGTTGGGGTAGAGAAGATTGTTGTCTCTGCTGAGAAAATGGACTACCAATTGTTGAATCAGGTGGTCTCTCTTTTACAGTTTTACCTTTTATATATCACCTTTATGAACTCCTTTTTAGGATGCTATTAGTCTATTGCTCCGTGCCTCCGTATTATTTTCCCCATTTTCTAATTTTGCAATTTCTACCTACTTTCACCCATGTTTTACACAAATGTTTCAAACAAGTGAGTGAAGTGACTAATTTATCTTATATTCTAAACCCATCCCATCTTTTGTATCACTCCCCAACAAGTTCACAACTGCCCCCGTGTGGCCGTGTTGTTAGAAAAGTCGCCAAAAATGTTGTTGGAAAAAAACATCCCATGGTGGCATTGACGCATGAGGCCGTGTTACTAGTCATCACATTTTTATCAATGATTATTATTATTATATTATTATACTACGTATTAGTAATACCATAGAAAAAACTCCAAAGATTTAGATAACAATAGATAAGAACTAAGAAGTCAATAAAAGAACACTATTTGAATGTAAAAAATTAGGGAGAATTTGACTTTGCATCCCACTTTTTGGGTGATATTGGACTTTGCACCTCATTTTAAAACACCTTTGACTTTGCACCCTATCATATAACATTTGAGAAGGAAAATTTCTAAATGGGGTGTAAAGTCAAATGATTTTGAAGTGAAATGGGCTGCAAAATAAAAGTTTTTTTAAAATGGGGTGCAAAGTCTAATATCATACAAAAAGTGGGGTGCAAAGTCAAATTCCCCCAAAAAATTATGCCTCCAATTTTTTCAGTATTACTCACACAATGTTTTCATATTAGGAGGTAGTGGTACTTATAAATGATTGACTTTATGAATTTGCATATGTGCAGAAACCGCGAAGACAATGCTGTGAGATCAGTGAAGGTTTCTGGAGTAGCACGATGAAAATCAAGATTAGGAGATGTAACCCCGGTGAGGCCATATTAATGCCAGGAAGTTAAAGTAGAACACATATCTCATTGTGGGTTAGTTAGGTGTAAATAATACGGAGTATGTACTACGTTTAGAGGATATGAACTCTATATACCTCTTCTTCAACTCAGGAATTGCTGTTTCAAAGTGAATAACAGTGTGTCCTTCCATGTAATACTAATACCCAGCATCTTGGTTTGGAGAGAAACCTTGATTCTAAATTTTAACGGCAGAGTAATGTATCACGTGTTGCGTTACCTGTTTCTGGATTTAGCCTGATAATTTAAAAGCATACATCAACTTTAGATGCATACATATATACATATGATTCAGGAGCAATATAGGGGTTAAGTCATCCAAGCTAGGGCTTTAGTTCTCAAAATCAGAGTATTTTTTATCAAGGGTGAAAAAGGAAATTGTAATATGTTTTTTCCTTAAATATTACAAATTAAATACCCATTGCAAAAAGTTAGCAAAATGTGAATGTTTTATTTTACGACAAAATGCTAGCAAAGCAGTTACCAAGGCTCACCGGCTAGCTACCTATTGGCAACTCCATTGATTATTGCCAGTTACTGTTGGTAACTGCATTAGTAACAATTTTGTCGTAAATTTAAAAAATTCTACGTAGCATTTCTGTCCAATGGATACTTGATATTCAAGGACACTTTCCTGTTAAAAATCCTCTCATCGTTTTGCCTTTCATTGAGTTAATTATTACCGTTTTTCCTCATTATTCAATATTCTCATTTTGGAGTTCACCTTAAGCCTCCGTAAATGTCGGGCTGGCCCCAGTGATGACACAAATAAGTAGATAACTATTGGGTCAATGCATATATGACCAGATTAAGTAAATATCATCACCCATTTGCAATTTTGCAGAGGAATCCCCTTTGGTCTTCTCTCAAAGGAACATCTGTGAAATCTGAGCAAATCCAATATTGGTGTCAGAAAAAAAATCAAACATTTTGGCCGTTGATCCTATACTTAGCACTCTTCAGCTCTAATTACACCTACCTCCCCTGATGTTTACTAAAAGACCAAATGACATTCGATGTTTCTTAAAGTTATAAACAACACATCCTTTAGCTAATCAGCAGAGGTTTTCTTCAAAGATGAAATGATGTAGTATGATACGGAGTATATCAGTAACAGTTGAGTTTTCTCAGACCGAATAAATTAACCTTGATGTTGATCCAAATTTAGAGAAAGCTTTTTGAATATTTTACTGGATAAAGTGCATCAAAATACCAAATTTAATCTGAAGGTCACAATTCATTTTAATATCATGCAATACATTCTATAATATTTGATATTTCAAAAAGGGACATCTGCGAAAAGATGAAAGCTAAAGGGACTAATTATTTGTAATTTTCAGAAATATCGAGGGTCATTTTGTAATTAGAAAAAACCTTGAGGTAATTGATTTTCCCCATTAATTAAACAAAACAGAAAGAATTCAACATCACTGAAACTTGAAATTAAAAGAGATAAATCAAGACAGTGTTTGGTTTTGGCATTGTTTATGTCATACCTGCGCCTGTTATAATTGACCCTTTAAAAGATGTATTTCCAGTTGCAAGTGCTCCTTCCAAGTTAGCATTGGTTAAATTTGCCTGCATGTCAGTCAGTCAGTCAGTCTCAACATAACCAATGCTATGTTATCACTATTTTCCTACCAATATCCTGATAACATAAATCAGACATTTACTCGTATAGTGACTTCATTCCTAAGCGGTCTAGCTCACTCGTCGCCGACTCACTCTCCCATATGGGAGGTCTCGGGTTCGAAACTTCAAGGAAGCGGTTTTAGTCCATTTACCCAGGCTCCCCTAGCCCCCCTCCCCTCGACCCCCTAGGTTAAAAAAAAGTAACTTCATTCCTAAACTTTGGTAAACCACTTGGAAAATACCCTCATGGAAAAAGATGTTCTTTGTAAGACTTTTTCAAGTCATGCTTTATTCAAACAGACTAAAATTTCAGCTAGTGTAGTAAAAGACACAAAAACATGTTAAATGTGATCATTGTAAAGTATCATATAATTTTGGATAAGTAGTAGGATCAATGACATAAATTGTAAAGATTACACATTGAACAGACATGACTCTTTGAGGAAAAGTGAGTAAATAATATAAAAGCATAATACATTTTCTCAAATACGACTAAGAGATGTTCATTCTTTAAAGAAGAGCTATTAACTATTTTCACACTAAAGAAGATAGATCTATTTGTGCATATGGTCCTTGTTTTACTCCTATTTCCTGTAATTTCTTTATTAGTATTACCTATACTATTAGAGACTGGATCAAAACCCTCAATTGCATTTAAAGTGAAAAACACCTAGAAATTCAGACTTGATCCACCCAAAAACATCTATACAAGAACAAGGTAGTGGCAATGGATTCATCACCTTTGCTAAATTTGCCAAGGAGAAGTCAGCACCTCTAAGATCAGCATCAGACAGATCAGCACCTGTAATTAACAACAATATATGATGATAAATTAACCTCAAAATGAATTGGCTAAAAGATGCTACATGAAAATAGCTAAAACTCTCAGTTTTAATGACAGGAAAAAGTTAAAAAAAGGTAGTAAAATGAGTTACCTGTTAAATCAGCATCAAAGAAGCTAGCTCCTGTCAATTTTGCGCCTTTAAAATTCGCTTGTCTCAATATGGACTGTAAAAAATATATAGATATGAGTACAATGCATTCACTTTCCTAAAACAGTGCTAATAACAGACTTCACAGTGCTATTGCAATACTAAGGGTCTGTTTGCAACAGCTTCTGCTTTTAAAAAAGTGCTTTTTTTAATGAAATGGGGAGAAGTGATTAAATAAAAGTTGATAGTGTTTGAGAAAAAAGTGATTTTGAAAAGTAAAAGTGGGTAGTGTTTGGTAAAATAAGTGCTTTTTGTGTAATAGAAAAAGTAAAAGCACTTTTGACGCGGAAGCCGAGAAAAATAAAAGTTGTAGTGTTTGGAAAAATAAGTGCTTTTTTAAAGCCAAAAGCTGAGAAGTGCTTTTTTAAAAGCAGTTGCAAACCAACCCTAAAACTGAAAAACGGGAGAAAATAAAACAATAGAATAATTACCGTTTTGAAATCTTGCTTGATCAAAGTTCTACCACTAAAATCTTTGCCAGTAAGGTCTTGCCCTCGGGTTACCTCAGCACCATATGGACCTCCACCCTTTGTTCATTGTCATGTATTGCAGAACCCCACATTAAGATACTAATTATGCTGCTCTAATTTGACAAAGCCCCCTTTCAAGGAAATGGGGTGTGTTTGGTAAATAGTCAATCAGCCTTTTTTGGCAGTTTGGTAAATAGTCAATTTAAATCTGTATATTAGTTAATAATTTTATATTAAAACTTACAAGTTACAACTAATATAAGCTTTACACAGTATAAAATGGTTTTAACATGTCATTAAGTCACAGTAATCGTATTAACCAACAGATGTAAAATATAAAACTTATTATGCAATACAATCACTTTTGTATCACAAGTGCACATGTTTCTCTCTATGTTGTTTGAAAATTCAACAACAATTATAATTTATACAATTACATTAGTTTCAGATGTTTATCTAAAGTCATGAACATTATCAGAATTCATCAACTAATATTGGATATACTTATTCCTTATAAGTCATTTGACTTGTTCCAGCTAACCTACCAAACAACTAACAAATTTACAAACAGATAAGCTTATTAAACTAATTTCATACATCCATATAACATAACCAAACAATAAAAAAAAATCTCAGACATAGTACTTGTACCAACTAAATAATTATCCATCCTATAATACAATTCTTTATCAAGTAAAAGAAAATTGCTAGACATCCACAGAGTCAGTGATTGCTAAGGTGAAAGAAAAGAGCAATGTTGAAAGAGCAAGAGTTTACCTTGAAGGCCAAAGCTGGATCAGAGGAAAAGAAGAGTGAAGCTGAGAGGAGAGCAATAAAGCTAGCAGTGGATAAGGATTTAGCACTATACAAGAGTGGGTCCCCCCTTGAGGTGTGGGGTGGTTGGTTCAGAGTAGCCGGGGAAAGAGGTCTGGCAAAGATTTGAAAAGGGTGACGATTCTGCGGGGTGGTGGAAGAGGCAATTTTAGAAGGGGGAGGAGGAGTGCAAAGGTTGAAGCAGCTGAGAACAGCCATGGCCTGGACTAGCTATCCCCTGCCAGCAAATGGATAATATAATTGTACAATTATTCTTTGCATATGTTATGATTATTTGGCGTTATGATTATATTTTATACTTTGCTTATGTTATGATTATTTGGTAATATGATTATTTAGAGCGTTTAGATGACTAATAGATTTTTTTTTTTTTTGAGTATTTCAAACTGTCCTTAGAAATAGTTTTTAGAAAATAATTTGATTTTACTTGTACTTTAAATTTCAAAAGGGACTAATGCAAACAAGATCAATTTCAAACACTCCTCAATCTCACTAAAATTTACCCTGGACAATTTTCTTCTCACCTGACCGATCAATTTGGAGTTAGACTAACTTTTATTGTATTTCCTACATAAATTTCAATTTTTTTTGGAAAAACATAAATTTCAATTAAATAGCTTCTAGTTTCTTATTTCAACATATTAATTAGGGAAACTTTCCGCGATAAAATAAAACATATTGAGTTTATCTAAATATGATTAGCTGTGTTTTTAGATATTCGTATGACTGAAAAGTAAAAACCTTGTTTATATTTAAATGTCGAATGAACAAAATAAGCTTATTTAAAATATGTGCATTTTGAACTAATTTCGTCTAATTAAAATTACTATATTTTATACTGCAGTTATTGCACGACATTGTTGAAGAATCGATTATAATCACTGCACTTTCGTCAACATTAAGTCTCTTCTCATCCACTCTAGGAATTTATTTATTATTTTTTAGATTTAATAATTTTAGTATTTTACTTCGAATGAAGTATATTGTATTTCATGGTGAGATTACTGTTGTGCATTACTTCACTACTGGTCATAATCACTACACTTCACACCAATGTTGTCATATCTATTGTCTTCGATCAAATCATTGTACAACACACTTCGTCAAAGCATTTGTTGAGTGCTCGTGTAGAACGTTATCTATTGTCATATTTACTCCCCATACACAACACTATCTATTATCATGTTCATTATTCATGTTCACTGTCCATGTTTAATGTCTAGACGTCCCAATTTCAATAAATCATAAGTTCAAAAATAGAAAAAGAAGAATGAGAATGACCATGACATACTACATTAACACCCCTTTAATTTATACTAGATTTTTCACATGTGCTTCGCACGGGATGCAATTAGTAAGCAATAATTTATTTGCGAATATATAGAAATGTTGTGTAAAGATAGAACACTGCATATATTATTTTAAACAGAAGTACATAAAGATTAAAAAATTACAAATTAATATTTACTTTTTTAATTGTAAGCAACACTCAAAGTCTTCTTGGCCGGTTTTCCGTCACCATCACACATAATAAAGTTCAACCTAGACGGAGACTTTACTCTTGAGACAACGACGTAAAGTTGTCCATGAGTGAAAATCGAACGACAGGGAAGTTGTTTTAAACTATTTAGACCCAGTCTATTCAGTGGCGTATCCAGAAAATTTGGCGAGTGAGGGCAAACCTGACTACAATTTAGTCTCATATTTCACAAATAACAAATCACATTATTAATATGGTTTGATTAAATTTAGTTTATCATATCTATGTACAAGTATGAATAAAAAGAAGATTAATTTATATTACGGGTGTGTAAAGATGTAATTGAAGATAAAATGTAATAAATTTATCTAAATATAAGTTAAATAGTCTTAAACATAAGAAAATTTAGTGATTTTTTAGCCTTTCATTCTTTGTATATTAAAGAAAACACTTCTAATCCTATTTTATAATTTTTGTACATTTAACTCTTAATTTGAGCAATTTCTTATAAAAATTTGGACATATATATAAGGGTTGGGGTTGAGTGGGGGCAGCCGCCCCCGCTGCCCCCATAGTGGATACGCCACTGAGTCTATTATAGTAATCTAGTTTAAGTTGATTTGGTATTGAAATCATTCCAAGTAAAAACATCTTCAATGAAATAATGCATTTTTTATGAGAACAATCACAAAATCAATGAGTTCAAAGTGGATGAGATTGTAAGAAAATACTGATGAGTACATCTCCAATCTAAGAAATTGTTAAAGTAAAAACGGTTTTTTTAATTAAAGCAATAACAATGCTATTGAAACTCAACTTTTAGTATCTCGATTAAACAATATCTTACACTCTTATCCATTCTGCCGAATTGATTACACCAATTGATGAATTGAGCTTTTGATTTTAAAAAATTGATCTCAGGCGTTATACTATGCAACTCTTCTAAAAAAAATTAAGCGTAGCCTTGAATTCAGAAAAGTAGAAAAACTATTTTCTAGAAAAGTTGTTCGAAAATTTAGAATTATTCAATTTTATTTAATCCCACTTGCTAATCTTACTATATACCTCAATTTTATGATATCACAATTGAAATTGATATAACATCTTGCTAACAATAATATGTGATGGTCTAGAAAATAATAACAGGCTTGGGCAATGACCTCGTGATGAGTATAACTTCGTTGTCCAAGTAAATGAGCAACAAAATATGGATTTTGGGTGACAAAAAAATTGTTGCCCAAAGTTATTTTCTTGTATGCCATTTGATGAAAACTGAATAAACATCAGACCATATTGAAGTATAGTTAGTCATAGAGAAATTGTGATTTTTCTAACAATTAACAAGTATACTAATTACTATGTATGCTTGGCATATAAGTTCTTTTTTAAATAGTTTAAGTTTTTGAGTTCCCATCCAATTTATTTATGACAAGTTAACACTTCAAATACTCTATTGTGGGAGTTGGGTTCGAACTTTTCTTGAACTAGAAGATGTTTATGTTGTTGGTTCAATTCCTGCATGCTTCTTGGCAAGCAATTTTATCTACAACTACCAGTTGAACCATGATTTATTGGACCATAGGAGTCTTAGTGTATGTTTTTTGTATCCTCTTTCATTTCTATTCCAGATTTGTTAATATTACTTTAACTTTCAAAAAGTCATCCGTTATTGCATTTAAAACATGGTTTTATTAATTTTTTTTTAAAAACTCATTTTTATTAGAATAATGTTTCTCCTTTAGTATCATTCATCTAATTTGTTTACTATGGGTTTTAAAACTCTTCTAGGACTATTTAATTCTATTTCAGATCGTCATCATAGTTGTACTGGATCTATTTGATTTTCAATCCAAAGTATTAAATTGTGTGTGTTTTCCCTTACATTAGGGTTTGGACTTTCGCCCTCATCGTGCGGCGCTCGTTTTTTATGCTCCTTTGCGTCGATTGTAGGTTGCGAGAGCATATTAGTCGAAGCAGATTCTAATAGATTGGGCGCTTGGCTTGTCGATTGCAGAAGCGTGCAAATGGAAGACAAAGCAGGAGGGAACCACCGGGACGGTCGCGAGCAAGAGGGAGAGCCCGTGGACGAGGTGAACCGCAGGGACGACCTCATCGACAAGTATGGGGGCTTGGGAACCGGAGGGAGCGAGGATGAGGTGCTGCTGGAGGATGAAAATGAGGGGGCAGAGGAGGTCGGATCTGTGAAGCCGGAGGAGTTTCCGGTTGTTGGGACGATTCTCACGGATAAAGTGGTTCATTTTCAGTTTTTCAAGGACCTCATAGCTGCCTTATGGCGCCCAGGCAAAGGTGTCTCGATTAAGGAGATCGGGGAGAAGAGGTACCTCTTTATCTTTTATCACTCTGTTGATGTGAATCGTGTTTTGGACAATGGTCCCTGGTTGTTTGATAAAAATATGATCGTGTTGAGAGCTATTAAGCCTGGGGATATCCCACTAAAAGTTCTGCCAAATACAGTTGAGCTCTGGGTACAGGTTCACAATGTGCCGTACACACATGATAAATTTGGGACGGCTAAAAGAATAGGGAATTATGTGGGTGAATTTGTCAGGTGGGATGACAAACAGTTTGATGCAAAATGGGATGCTTACATGCGTGTGAGAGTTCGAATGAATGTGACCAAACCTTTGAAGGTTGGAATTACTCTAAGGGAAGGTAAAAGAGAAGGGTATTGGGTAGCTTTCAAATATGAGAAGCTCCCGAGTTTCTGTTTCTGTTGTGGTGTTATTGGACATGTAGAGAAATTTTGTTCGTTTCTTTATGAGAAAGGTGACCACGCATTGACTAGGCCATACGGTCCGTGACTATGAGTGGGTGGACGAAAATCAAAACCCCTTAGGGGCAGCAAAAGGGCGATCTGGGATGGGAGCTCCTCGGCAAGGGGCGGGAACAGGGCACGTGTGGAGAGGTCACTTCAAGGCCTGAATTCAGAAGGGGTAGGGGAGAGAACCCAAGTAGGAATGCAAGTTTTGGTCTATTCCCGGGGAGATTTCAGTGGTGGGAGGACTAGGAGAGCTGAAGAGAAGGCACATTTGGGAGGAGCATGCCAAGGAGATTGCCATGAAGAATGTTATGGCGCTGGACTTGCCAAAAAACGGGGTTGGGGCGGGTGCTGGACCCCAGCCCCACCAGACGTTCTGAAGCTGATGACGGCTATGTTAGCCAAGAGACTTCTTTATTCTATTTGTTTTGCTTTGTTTATTTTCCATGCTTTGAATTATATTTTTGTTTTGGTTGTGCCGCGTTTTTCCAGCAAAAAAACTCTTGAAACTAAGACAGGGGATGAAGTGTCGTGTCTGCAAGTCATAGGCTCAGGTAAGACCAAAGCGGGATCAGCGAATTATATGGCTTCTACGAAGGTGATTAATTTACAATTTGGTCCTTGGGCGGACGGTAGACAGGAGACTTGTTGTCATTTTGTAACCTGTTTTGGTTTGGTCCTTTTGGTAATGATAAGTTAAGCCAGTTTCGTTCAAAAAAAAAGATTGATTTGAAATCCAAACTCTCTCTTGCTTAAAATTTTTCTACCTAACAATGACTATTTGGACTGTTATTATTTTCTAGACCATCACAAAATCACTATTAATGTGAATAGCAAGAAAAATATTGAACTAATAATCTGCTTGAAAAACAAAATAATGAAAACATAAATAACAATTTAGAACATTTAAATTCAAAACCCATAAGCGAAACAAAACTTTAATAGATTTATGGCTGCTCTAGTCCTCTATCTTGGCTGCTTTGACATTCTTAGTAGTTGAACCTCAAGTTTTGCTTTTTCT